TGCAGCACTGTTCACAATAGCAAAGACTTGGACAACCCAAATACCCATCAATGATAGACCGAATGAAAAAAAAACGTGGCACATATACACCATGGAATACTATGGAGACATAAAAAAGGAGGAGTTCATGTCCTTTGCAGGGACCTGGATGAAGCTGGAAACCATCATTCTCAGGAAACTAACACAGGAAAAGAAAACCTAACATTGCATGTTCTCACTCATAAGTGGGAGCTGAACAATGAGAACACATGGACACAGGGAGGGCAATATCACACACTGGGGTCTGTCAGGGGGTGGGGGATTAGGGGAGGGATAGCATTAGAAGAATACCTAATGTAGATGATGGGTTGATGGGTGCAAGCAAATCACCATGGCATGTGTATACCGATGTAACAAACCTGCATGTTCACCACAAGTATCCCAGAACTTAAAGTATAATAGTAATAAAAACTGTGTGTGTGCATGTACAGGGCTAAGCATAGAGAAAAGTATGAAAAAAATGATAATAGTGACTATCTTAGGTTAGTGGGATTTCAGGTGATTTTTATTTTCTTCCTTGTGGCTTTTTGCATTACGTTTTTATACTGTGTATGTTTTACTTGTTCAAAATTTTAAAAGAGTTTTTTTTTTAATTGTGCGAAAAACAACAATAACAAAATTAGAATGAAAGAACTGGAGCAGAATGCAAAGAAAGGTGACTGGAAGGAACTGGGAGGTGGAAGTAGAAAGGCAAATGGGGGTCCCAGAGGGACTTGACAGGGGACCTGAGGGATCTGGAGGGCCCAAGAGGTGGCAAGAGACATTATGTAGAACTACTGGGAATAGGAGGTACTGGGTAGCAGGGGGCTCAAGAAGACTGTGGGGAGACTGGAAGGTACAGAGGGATAGAAGAAAGTGTCCAGGAACAACAGCAGATAGGGAGACAAGTCAAGAGGAGATGGGAAAGACCAGTGAGGCTAAGTAGGACTGGAGGAAAGGGCAACCCCAGAGAAACAGGGAGACTACACAGTCTGAGGGGGACTGAGAGAGACTGACTAGAAGAGGCCTTGGGATTGGATTAGCTTTTGAGCTGACAGCCTAGACTTTCCAGCTCTATCAAGGCTTAACCCTCTTTGCCTGATTTTCGTCACCTGTAAAGATAAGCATAAGGCCTGCCTCAGAGTTAAGATGAGGATTGAATGCTACAATCCGCGTTAAAAACTTAGTAATCACTGAGCATTCAGAGCGCACTCAATAAAATGCTAGGTTTTATTATTATGAACGGCTTCTCAATTCAAAAAGAAGAGGCATGATAATAAAACTTCATCTCCCATCCAAGTATTTCATTCTGCGCTTTTAATAAGGAATCATTTTTTCCTGAGAGTGAGATGGTGGGAGGGAAGAGAATAAATCCAACCTGCTCTGAAGACTTGCCCAAAGCTGAACCTTCTTCACCACTCAGAATGAAAAATGAAAGACTTTCATCCAATGAGACTTCAGTCTGTGGAGACAACTATGATAAACCAGTATTTAGTGTTGAAATAAATGCTTTTTCTGCTTATAAGTAAAGGGAATACTTTTCTGTAATAGGGTAAACATAATTGTTATCTCGCTAGCGAACAGGGAGCACCAAGGCAGATAATATCAAGGTATACTTAGCTTTGAGTCTGTTTGGTTCATGAATTTTTTATTTTTGTTCTGTTTCTAATGTTCTGGTAACTGCAAGAAAAGCCAGAATATAGAGCCAAAATCTTCATCTTCCCAAACTATCTCCTCACTCTAGTCTGGGAGGAAAGAGTTTGACCAAAATGCTGGCTCCAGTGGAGCTTTCTTTTTTCTCCTTGTTTTTAGTGCTGTCCTGTTAAGGTGTGCGCGTGTGTGCACGTGCACACACACATACACACACACACACACAGACTGCCACCTCCGCCCACAATCTTTCATGGAGTTAGAAGCAATTAAAAGTCTGAAAAGTGGTATATTCTTAGTTGTAAACCCACTGATAAAGAAGCTCTCATTTTTCACTCTTGTAAAGTCTGACTCTTTGAACTGATAAATCACATCACTTCTTTCTCACACACATATATTAAAATGAACTGTTTTAAGGAAGGCTTGGGAAAGCAATCAGTTCTATAATAAAAAGTAAAACTCATAGTCTCTAGGAATCAAATAATTTAAAATATGTAAACTATAAAATTATAAGATACAATTTTATATAAGATATAATTTTATCAAGTATAAAATTATAAGATTTTACCTTATAAGATAAAAGCTTATCTTTATATTCTGTTTGTACCTACAATGTAGGCATGACATTAACTTAAAAGTTATTCACCTTGTAACAGTGCTGCTTATATGAACTGTCAGTATATACTTTTACCCCCCATCATCTCTGCACATCTCAAAATCGCTTGCTTAAATCTGCTTCCTGAGCAGATATCCCTGTGTGGTAACTGGGATTGTGTTTCTTAGAAGTCAATTTCTCTTCCTTTTAATCCCTTTTCCTGATACTCAATGGATTGACCTTGACAAACTTTGTAACTCTTTATAGTTTTTACTATTCGTAGTGAAATTAAATCCAATTTAGGCATGTTTTAATTCATGTGTTAAGTGAATAACATGCACATAAACATCACTTTTTAGTCTGCTTTTACCTTTACATTTAATTAAAATAATTTTTATTAAGTACCTAAGAGGGGCTCTGTGGAGGAGCCAAAAATTAAAAAAAAAAAAAAAAAACCTTTGCATTTTAAAATATGCAGTTATATACTCTAGGTGCTTGTGGCAGAAACTATTACTTGCTCTTTACAGTCTTTTCTCCCATCTCTAATAGTGGAACCTAGACACTTCTTCCACATTGATTTGGTGGAAATGATATGTGCAGTTTGCTGGTCTTGTCCCCTAAAAGATCAACCTAAAATCCTTTGGTTCTTTCTTTCCCCCTTCCCTTTCGCTAGCAAATGGAAAACTAGAGCTTTGCCATTGGACTCACAGATGGAAACCACATACTGGAGATGGCAAAACTTTCCTATCAGCCCCGATTACTGACTTGTTATGTTAGAGAAAAAGGTAACTTCTATCTTAATGAAAACACTTTACTTTGAATCTTTTTGTTACAGCTACTTAGCTTGTACTGTAAATAATATAACTCTCTAAAAATATGAGTTGTTTTGTCATTTCAAGTTCCAAATATGTGATTACACATTGACTTTTCAAATATTGATTACACATTAAAAATCTGTAAGTTGGATATCACCTATAACATTGTGAAAATAATTAATTGGGAGACCATTAGACGGAAGCAGCTCTAGGGCCCTGAGTTCCTATGTAAGCAAACCAAAACCCAACTCAGTGTGAATGGCCCTATCCAACGAAAAAGAAACTTTAGTTTTACCAATCAGAAACTGCCAACTAATCTCTAACGAGGAACTTTAAGGCTACTGCTCCATTCTAGTCAATCAATGTTTTCTTTGCCTTACTTCCGCATGCACCGTTTAAAAGCTTTCCCTGCATGCCCCTTCGGTGGAGCCCTAACCATCTGCAGACTGGCACTCTTCAATTCATGAATTGTTGTCTGTTCAAATAAACTCTTTAAAATTTTAATGTTCCTAAGTTTATCTTTTAACAATATTTTATTATAATTTTTTTAGGATAAAAAGTAACGTCAAGTAAGAATAGAGCGTGATTGCAAATGGGCAATCACTGATAAAGAGGAATCTTTTTTGGGTGATAAAAATTAAACTGTGGTATTGATTAAACAATTCTGTAAATTTACTAGAAATCATTGAGTCACACACTTCAAATGGGTGAAGTTTTGCTATGTAAACTATATTTCCATAAAGCTGTTTTAAAAAGTAAAAACAGAGAAAAGTTATTCACCTTGGACCTTTGATATATTTTGCTCTCAACGAGCTGCTCCATTGAAGATTTTTCACCTTTATTAATCTGAAACACAACAGAAATAAATCTTTTCAGAAATAGACATAATG